GACCCCACTCCGCGCGAACGCTCACTGCTGTTAACAAGTGTGTATGCACTAGTGTCTGTCTACCCCAGTCTGGTAAATCACCTTCAAGACCCACTCACACAAAGACCGCTTCCTGTGGACGCCAAGGCGACTGCCGGGCTCAGACACTTCGGATCCGGTTCCCTCGCGACGTGCACTAGTCCGGCCGTCGACTTCTTTCTACATATTCTTCAATTCCTCTATACATAATAAACTACTCCTTCCACCTAGTGTCTCACTTCTTCTCTTCCCCTACGAAACCGTGACTGAGGATCGCACGGGAAGGGGTGTTACCTATTAACTTAATCGACTCCGATAAAATTGCCGGGGACGTTTAAAGGCATGTTTGGGGAAACCAGTTGTCAGTCAGTGTGCTGAATTTGTTTGTTATGTGCGATGCGGAATGCAGACCCTTCAATCGTTTGGAAGACCTCGTGGTTAGCGATTTTGCATTCAGTCACTGATTATTTTAACTTTAGTTTAAGTAGATTCGGCAATCGCTCGATCTCTTTGGATAATGAACTCGCAGCACGGAACGTAATTCGCAAACATGGAATCTAGCTCTAGGAACAAAGCTTTTTTTAGGCTGTAATGAATTACCCAAATCTGCCAGTCTCCTTATTAATCAAGTGTGCCTGGAAGTCATCTGGCGGATTCCGGATTGACTGCTTAGGAAATCCTGCTTGGGCAGTCAGCTTACTGTACCAGAATTGGTGAACTCCATACGTTGCAGTAGACTGGGCGGGTAGATTGACCTAAGTGCAATTAAACTCCTGACTCCCGTTGGAGGTCCCATAGCTCAGTTGTTTGGAGCGTTGACCGTACCAAGTCTACCCCTTGCTGGTGTGTGTTTCTATTCTACCGAGGCAACCGAGTTTTTCACAAATAGGATCAAATAAATTATCCAAACCTGCCAACTCTCTCCCCCTCCCCTCCTACTAATAAATATTTGGGCTGCAACCTATCAGCTACTGCAGGCAGTCACAAATATGCACAATGCTGCTGTGGGAGCCTGCCGCTGTTGACTCATGGTTCCTGCTTTTGTTCGCCACGAACTTGGCAACCGCTGTCAGTACGCTCCATTCTTGTCGCCGCAGCAAGCCTTGCACAAGCGCCAGCGAATCGATGACCGCCTATCCACCTGGTCGGCTATAGCTTCACACTAAGCAACACAGCAAGCAAGACGGACTCACTCGGCCTTCCGCCTCAGCTCGAGACGGACGCGACGCTGCAGTGCTATCTCACGGTGCTGATGGTCGAA